TGACGCGTCACTGTGGCCAACTGATTTGTCACTGTGGCCTACTCATATACCACTTTGGCCTACTGATTTGTCACTGTGGCCTACTCATATGCCTCATTTTGGCCTACTGATGACTTGATTTGAGGTTGATCAGAGTAATGTCACATTGTGATTTAAGTTCACCTTCAATAACATTGTTCATGAATTTAATAGCTAGTCAATGTTGGTAATACTCACAGCTGCGTAATGAGTAATGTGGTCCAGCCCCTCTCTGAATACTCATGTCAAAAAAACTCATAGTGAGTTCTGTATACACCAGCTCAAATGTCTGCCTTAATAGTGAACATATTTCCTCTGCAGCAGCTTTACTTGAACACAGTAGTACCACTAGTTTAAAATTATCAATTCTGTCATCAGATGCAATTTTGCAACTAATTAGATGTTGCAGGTCATCCTGCACATAACTGAGAGAAGCAATCTCGTGAATTGGCACACGAAGTATCAAATCCTGCAAAACACATACAAGTTTGAAAATACATTGGTACATAGCTACACCATAGGTTAGTGTAAGCTATGAATGATATACACAAACATCTCACTAAAGTGATTTTGGTGAGGTGAACCTTCATGGACAAACAAATGTACAGAATATGGAATATGCTACGAAAGCAAATCTATTGTGAGCAAATGTAGTTTGAGTAAATCTTGTTAGCAAATGTAGTTTGAGTAAATCTTGTGAGCAAATGTAGTTTGAGTAAATCTATTGTGAGCAAATGTAGTTTGAGTAAATCTTGTGAGCAAATGTAGTTTGAGTAAATCTTGTGAGCAAATGTAGTTTGAGTAAATCTTGTGAGCAAATGTAGTTTGAGTAAATCTTGTGAGCAAATGTAGTTTGAGTAAATCTTGTGAGCAAATGTAGTTTGAGTAAATCTTGTGAGCAAATGTAGTTTGAGTAAATCTTGTGAGCAAATGTAGTTTGAGTAAATCTTGTGAGCAAATGTAGTTTGAGTAAATCTTGTGAGCAAATGTAGTTTGAGTAATCTATGTGAGCAAATCCCTATGGAAGCAATCTTTGTAAGCATGTACAATGTGCATGGATATCTTAGTGGTATACCCTTATGTAATGAACCCTTGATATAACTCATACTACACGTTATACTTACCTCTCCATCTCGCTTTAATATTTTAACATAATATGCTGAAATGGATAATATGGCATCATAGGAAGGGTCGTGTACTGTCCACGGTAGATCACCATGTCTCTATAGTCAAGATAAAAAATACGGTAATTCCAATATTTAAATTCATGAATTCAATCCCACATTTACAGGTACGTGTCATTTTTAGTTTTATATCAATTTCACATCCATGAGACATAGCTCAACAAATCTGATATTGAACACGGTTCAGAAATTAAATCAACAAGTTAAAACTTTTGAGAAATCATAATTTTACAGAACTGCATGTACACTTAAGAATCATTGACTAATCTAAGTATTTATAGCCACTAATAGCTATTGAAAATTGTCAGAAAGAACACACTTATTAATATGGAGTAATTGTATCACTGTGATAATAATGGTACTGTCACATCTTTTGTTTGTTTTTCCCTGAACAGTTAAAACACACATCTAACGATGACTGGTAATGTGAATATTGTAATGTTTACTGTACCATATCAGCAGTAAGATTTAACACTGAACTTCTTAAAAGATCTTCCATATATATAAATTGAAAGGCAAACAATTCATGGGCTTACCTTGCCAGCATCAAGTACTCGTAATATTTCTGTTCTTTTCGTTGGATCCAACCCTCCAGGTATATTTGGCACCTGGCCAAGATACTGAAACCAGATCAAAGTGTTACAATTAAATAATTACAATTAATAGCAATTAATTACGTTACATAGCCCCTATGAGATCAAGTTTAAGGAGTTTCTACATGACAAATTTTAGACACACACATTTATTTGGTGTAATATCTGACATTGAACAGCATCAATGCAAAGTGCATTTAATGTGGAAGACATGATGTAAATGTCTTAAATAATGGCATCTAAATTATCAAAACCAAATGGCCACCAATTAGTCATATTATACCAATACTACTAAATGTGAATGAAAAAAGTCCAGGCACACCTCAACAGTGATTAAATATCTCAATCAAAAGTAAACAAAGTGGGAAACAAATCAATGTGCATAATTATGTATTTATGTCTTGTTGTACAGAATCATCCAGGTATCAAATAAAAATACATCAGACTGACACATGGAGTGAATTACGTCCAGCAGAGACCATTAATAATAATAATCAACCAATCAAAATTCATAAAACTTTACCTTGACTTCCTTCTCAATGTAACTATCAATTAAAACTTGTGCGTCTACTTTATAATCTGGACCAATCACTTCGTAAGATTTCAACAAACGACGACGTTCTCGTATTGGTCTACCTTCTTTCAGTGGCATCTTTCTATCACGGTCCTTATCACTAGATCGTTGGTTAAAAACACGACTAATTAAACCACCACTTTGCTGTTGAGGAAAACAAAATGTTTTAATAATATAATGAATACGAAAATTCAACTTAATTAGCATTTTAAACAGTAACATTAAAAGTATACTGTTCTATATTACATTTCTGTTGAATGATAAAATGCTATGCAAACTTTATGCTCTCTGTCTACTACCCAGACTCGATAGTGATGGTTACCTTAGAAACAGAATACCCAAAGTATAATCCAGTGCCAAATGCCATAAAATTGCTTTTACATTTTACTGCCATGAAATAATAAAACTGTCACAAGTGACTTTTAGGAAAAATACGTTGATAAGGCCAAAAACAAATTGTGTGCTTCCTATAACATGTACTCCAAAAACAGATAGGGTGGATTCTAATTATTTTAAACTAACTCACTGAACATACGTTTCCTGATGTTTACATTTAAAAATTTTCCAATATGACCAAAATTCTGAATAATATAGTCAGTTCTATTCAAGTCTCATTGGATTCTTGTTTGATTTTGCTTAATTTGTTATGTTTGGCAAACAAAGTATGGGGGTGGCAATAAATTTTAAGTAGGGTAGGGTTACCGTATTGCAATATATTTTTTTATTTGGTCAAAAGATGCTTTATGTTCTGCATATGCATTATCAAATGTAAAGGGATTAGTAATTTGTAAATTCATTCCCAAGTACATTTATGCCATACTGTGAAAATAATTTCAAAACAAGCCAGCAATACGAGAAAATTCAACTTAGTGGCCAGACCCTCTGTACTATTTGTAAAACATACAGTCCAGGCTTTGCCTTTTCATAATAACTTATAATTTTTAAAGTGAGTGTCAATATTTAAAAAATATACCAATGTTACTATTATTAGAATATTTAGGCAGATTACTCTGCATGTGTAGATATATAGCAGTTTTGAAAGCAAGCTAAGATAGCATTAAGTAGCTAAAAGCTAACTAAATGTTAAGTTGGTAGATGTATATAACGCATATTCAAGACAGTTGTTATTGTTGTTGTTGTTGTTGTTGTTTTAAATTTGCTCATTCCATTTGATGAAAATTGTTGTTTATTTATTTAAACATTTTGACAAATAATCAAAATAAAATAAAGAGCTATGATTGGCTATAATAAACTAATAATTAAATAAAATGAATAATATATGTATAAGTAATGACAGCAAATATATGAAACATCACTCATCAATCAATTCTTCTTTCACAATTTAAGTTTTGCATTTTGTTTTCTATCTATTGTAGTATCATAATTTTATACTGTTATTCTCTGTAATGTATTAGCTTAGTTTGTTTTATTTTATCCATTTACTTTTTTGTAACCTTTGTAACCTTTTATTCCTTTTTAAACTTTTGTAACCATTGCCAATCCCTCCGGGGAATGTGTAAGTGTTAATAAAATTATTATTATTATTACTCATAGAAAACAAGCAGCCTATCGGCTGAGATAGCTCCGCTGTTAGCAATGCACATTTCAATTAAAGAACTGAAGACATCATTAGAAAATGAACAATATGAATAGTATCAAAGCAATCAGACTTACAGTTTTTAACAAGAAGTCGAAAATATCACTTTTTACCAAAAATTACAAAAATATTCACCAAAATAAATAGAGAATTGAAGATATCATCACGAAATGAACAAATCTGAGAGAGGTCCACATGTAGTACCTATATATGTAGTATCAAAGCAATTGGACTTGCGGTTTTTAACAAGAAGTCGAAAATATCACTTTTTACCAAAAATATTCACCAAAATTAGAGAATTAAAGATATCATCACAAAACAAACAAATCTGAGAGAGGTCCACATGTAGTACCTATATATGTAATATCAAAGCAATCGGACTTACAGTTTTCAACAAGAAGTCGAAAATATCACTTTTTACCAAAAATGACAAAAATATTCACCAAAATTAGAGAACTGAAAATATCATCACAAAATGAACAAATCTGAGAAAGGTCTACATGTAGTATCTATATATGTAATATCAAAGCAATGAACTTTTGGTTTTTAACAAGAAGTCGAAAATATCACTTTTTACCAAAAATTACAAAAATATTCACCAAAATTAGAGAATTGAAGATATCATCACGAAATGAACATATCTGAGAGAGGTCCACATGTAGTACCTATATATGTAGTATCAAAGCAATTGGACTTGCAGTTTTTAACAAGAAGTCGAAAATATCACTTTATACCGAAAATGACAAAAATATTCACCAAAATTAGAGAATTAAAGATATCATTACAAAATGAACAAATCTGAGAGACGTCCACATGTAGTACCTATATATGTAATATCAAAGCAATTGCACTTGCGGTTTTTAACAAGAAGTCGAAAATATCACTTTTTACCAAAAATGACAAAAATATTCACCAAAATTAGAGAATTGAAGATATCAACATGAAATGAACAAACCTAAGAGAGGTCTACCCAAGGTACATATACACCAAGTATCAAAGCATTCAGGCTTGTAGTTTTCAAGAAGAAGTCGAAAAAGTAAAACATTGACACAGACGACGGACGCCGGACGACGACGACGGACAATCACTCATATGATAAGCTCCGCTTGACAAAGTCGACAGCGGAGCTAAAAATAAAAACAGACTGCATGTACATTAAAGTGGGAATCATGTCCTTATTTAGACAAACCATGAAGGTAGAAAAGAGAAGGAGTGAGGACACTATTGTTTCCGCTGGTTTCACGATGCTTTGAATTTATTTACTCAGTACACATTGTAATTATTTGGAAAACACGCTGTCAAGTGTCACCGTTAATCGACTTACGTGTTTCGGCTGTATTCGGAAGCTTCACAAAGATTCTTGATGCACTGCGCATGCCAAACAGATAACAATAATACAAAATGCAGTGAAAGACGTACGATGAGTGTACTCAATACCCCAAATATATTGCAACACAAAAGGCGCGATTTTCAACATCTGCACAGTTCTGCACACCGATGAAAAATGCCCCGTCAAAACATCTTGTTATAATCTTATCATGTATCTTTAAATTTCAATGCGGAAATTTGCAGGATTTTTTTAATCAATGTCCAAAGTTGGACAACTATTTTGATGAAAAATATCAGAAAAAAAGTAATCACACATCTTGGAAGCGTCCGTATGCAGAATTTCCGGTACCTACAAGTGTGAAATGACCTGTGTGACCCGATAAAGGTCAATTCTTTTATTTATGGTTTGCGCATTCAATTTTATAGACGATGTTTAAATGGAATTTATTTTTTTCAGTTCTACTCTCGTTTTGTGTGTGTAAATAAGCGGCTATCATCATGTAGACAAAACAACTTGTAAACAAAAACAATAAGTGGCTTAACCAGAGCGAAGACAAAGGATGTTTATAAGGTTAACATGGGCTTAAATATCGTCCTCACTCCTTCTCTTTTCTACCTCCATGGACAAACCATGGACAAACCTACTTACAATGTAACTACCTCCAAGGACAAAAGAGGCCTCCTAGAAACTCAGTGAGAATCCTGACTGTTTACAAAGCTAAACTAAAGGAGTCTCTACTAATTCATATTCTGCAGTTTATTTCTCATTACGTATTCACTATCACATTTGATGGCGTATTTATATAGGTCACGCAATGGTACAACTTTAATTAATATGCAAACAACATATACAATTATTCTAATTTGTGAAATATATCACTTGCAGACTGTAAATTATTTTTTAAAATAATCAACTCAAATCCTTGAGCAGAATACAACCTTGTTTACAATGGATCGAACCATAGACTCTCTAAAAGACTTTTAGAGGGTCTATGATCGAACCAACATCTGATAATGAGCACAGACACGAACTGGTATTCAGTTTATTTTATAATAGTGTCCCCTTGCGAAAAACAAAATGCAGAATTTAAAGATACATACCTCTGAGAACTGTCACATGTTTATGCCGATTAAGAAAATGCAAAGAGCAAGGCGGCGACTAACTAAAAGGGGACCTTTCAAAGGATATCAAGGCATTTGGACTCGTAAAAGAAGCACAAGGCTTCACCATGTCTACATGTATATTATGCCGAAAGACGTCATTGGCCGTTGTTGTTTATATTGTAACTGCGCTTTGTAAAGCGTTGGGTGTGGTTGGTTAGGCAAACCAAAGCGTAAAGACCTCAGACACAATGGCATAACAAAGTTCAAACGTCAGGGAGAGACCCACATTGTTCGACTTTCATGTTCGATCGTTTTCGACAGCTGCAGCTTATAGGGGCGAGAGGCGGACACAGGACTGGTCGGACCCTGAGAACGCCATAAACATACATATAAGACAATAATAGTTACCCTTCTTGACGAATCGCGACTCATTGCATCGTCCCCCATTCCATATACTGTTCTTACAATATATTGTCATTCTGTGCGGTTCACCTTTCCATAGTTGTGGTTGTGTTTGGAGCCGAAAATCGACAACACTTGGCGATCAGTAATATAAATCAACTGGAGGCGGCCATATTGGGCGCGGTTGTTACCCAAAATGCTTTGCAGACTTGGTAAACATTATTTTTTCCTCATCAACCGAATGGACGGTGGAGTGTGATTCAGCAAAATACTCGAAAAAAAGTGTATATTGCCTTCTTATCTAAGATAAGTCATTCGTTGCTGTCAGAAATAAAAGCTGCATCACACACAGTGTTGTGGTGACATGATTCCTATATATATACATGTAGTTATATTTTGAAATCCCATCAGAAGATGTTGTTTTGAATGTATCAAATTTATTAATTTCATGAATTTTCCACAGTTTCCATAAGTTTTGTATATAAACATATCCTTTGTAGAAATTCAACATTAGTTATCAACATCACTTTTATCATCAACATGGCGGTAGAATATTTTCTAAACAGGTGAAAACGTAGAGAAGCAAACCAATAATGCCTTTTTTCAAGCAATTATATAGGGTATTTTATTTTTCTCCTCTTGACGAAGCTCGCTTGCCATTGTAAATATATTTTCATTGTGAAATTAAACACATTTTGCGGTTATCATAGATTTGAGTTATGTGAGATGATTTGTTTATAAATGCTAATAAGGTTGATTTGGTTGTTGCCATTTAGTAAGGGCTTTTCTTTCAGATAATATAATGATTAATAATTGTTTTTATTACTACTAATCACTCATATTTTCGGTGAAAAATGTACATATAAAAATATATTGTTACCTTCATGGGCCTTATAAATAATATATATAATAAATCATTTTTATTACTAATAAATGAATGAATGAATAAATGAATGAACGAACGAACGAACGAACGAACGAACGAATGAATGAATGAATGAATGAATGAATGAATGAATTGTTTATGTTTTACGATGTTTGACAGTTGTTCAATGTTACCATATATACCATTTTGTTTTTGCTCTATAAATAAAAACTGTTCTGAATTCTTATTTCAACATTTGTTTCACACAGAACAATAACATGTGCTAAACTTTACGCCGTATTGTAAAAGTTTCACCTGTTAACCACGCCAGGGACACACGTGTAATGTTTAGTGTCGTTACGTACTAATGCTGCTTCGTCCCAAATTGTTTCGTATCAAATTGCCTTTTTGTTTACACGATTCACAGTCAATTCATCCCAATTCACATTCGTCCCAACACATTCGTTCCACAAGTCGATTCTTCCCAATTCACATTCGTCCCACAAGTCGATTCTTCCCAATTCACATTCGTCCCATTTCACATTCTTCCCAATTCACATTCGTCCCACAAGTCGATTCTTCCCAATTCACATTCGTTCCACAAGTCGATTCTTCCCAATTCACATTCGTCCCACAAGTCGATTCGTCCCAATTCACATTCGTCCCATTTCACATTCTTCCCAATTCACATTCGTCCCACAAGTCGATTCTTCCCAATTCACATTCGTTCCACAAGTCGATTCTTCCCAATTCACATTCGTCCCACAAGTCGATTCTTCCCAATTCACATTCGTCCCATTTCACATTCTTCCCAATTCACATTCGTCCCACAAGTCGATTCTTCCCAATTCACATTCGTTCCACAAGTCGATTCTTCCCAATTCACATTCGTCCCACAAGTCGATTCGTCCCAATTCACATTCGTCCCATTTCACATTCGTCCCAATTCACATTCGTTCCACAAGTCGATTCTTCCCAATTCACATTCGCCCCACAAGTCGATTCGTCCCAATTCACATTCGTCCCATTTCACATTCGTCCCAATTCACATTCGTCCATTTTTTTTTTAATTTTTGGTCAGCGTTACGATCTTGAGCAGGGTCAATTTCTATGCCAACTGTTACTGACACGCTAACGAATAACTCCACGTTGTGTGTACGGTGTATTTGTATTTATTAACTAATAACTCTACGTTGCGTGTGCGGTGTATTTGTATTTATTAACTAATAACTCTACGTTGCGTGTGCGGTGTATTTGTATTTATTAACTAATAACTTGTACGTTGCGTGTACGATGTATTTGTATTTATTAACTAATAACTCTACGTTGCATGTAAGGTGTGTTTGTATTTATTAACTAATAACTTGTACGTTGCATGTATGGTGTATTTGTATTTATTAACTAATAACTCTACGTTGCATGTAAGGTGTATTTGTATTTATTAACTAATAACTCTACGTTGCATGTAAGGTGTATTTGTTTATAACGTCGGCAAAAACAAAATGGCATAACGAACAATTACGCATGCCAGTGCATGACGTGTACATGAACAGTTAGTTGTTTGGATTTTTTGTGTTTATTTGGCGAGTTAGTAGTGGGCTAACCTTAAATCTGACGAATCGATCGACTTGTGGGACGAATCGACTTTGGGACGAATCAACTTGTGGGACTAATCGACTTTGGGACGAATCAACTTGTGGGACGAATCGACTTTGGGACGAATCGACTTGTGGGACGAATCGACTTGGGACGAATGTGATTTGGAACGAATCGATCGTCCCCCGTCTATACCCCCCCCCCAAACGTTTACTGAAGTAAACCAAAGACAAAAGTATAATAGTTTTAATACTCAGTGGCAGCGGCACGGGGGCAGAGGGGCCATGGTCCCGTCGCCCCTCCAAAATAAAGATGAAACCATTTGTGTCAGCAAAATTTGGCCCTCAAAATGCTTGAAATAACGTTTCGGAGAGTCTAGATTTCAAAATTTTTAAGAGGAAGCATGGCCCGGACCCCCTGGCAAGGTCTCGCCTTCGGCGCAATGTTGATGAGCAGATCTCACCCCTCATGCAAAATGTCGTGCCGCCGCCTCGGATACTGTATTTGCTTTCGAGTTCGTTCTCTTGAGAAATACGACTATCAAACAACAGACCCAACCATTTTCACTTTTAATAATAGTACAATATATATTGTATTGAGCGGTAACAATATTATTATTTAAATTAGGGTAGGGCCTACTCATGATTTCAAATATCCTGAATTTATTCATTTTCCAATAAATTGTACTTCCGGGCAATATAAGGATATTGACTTAAAAAAGGTTGGGGGTCACCAGCTTAATTTTCGAGAAAATGATGGTTGTGTTTTAGTGGATAGTGACCATTTTCTTATTTATTATAACGCTTTTACCATCCTATGGCAGTGATGGTGAAATAGCCTGAAAAAAAATATATATTGTGAGGCCAGACTTGTTTTATTCCTTGTTTCTCGAGTTTTTATAAGGCAATTTTTTTGAAGATTAGATTTGTGTGATTCTCAAAGAATTGTAAGTGAGATCATTGATCGGAGAGAAGAAATTAAATAAAATTGTATTCCATGTAAAACATTGTTTGTTATCTGCGCGAGACTTCGGTACTTTGCTCATGATGCTCTCACGAAAATGCAACTTGGATTTGTTATGCGGCGGGCGATAAAAAAAATGAAGATAAAAATGATACAAGAGAAATTACACTGAAATTTAATTTTGTATTTCATTGTCGGCTTCTGTTCATTCGGCGGGTTCGCGAAACAAGGGATAATAACAGTTTGGCCTGAATGGTGGGATATGTTTTGTTGTTCTCAATTATTTCAAAAATCGAGGTTTTAAAAAGTGGCAACATTTTTTTCTTTAACATTAACTCTATAGAATTGTTCAAAAAATAGCATTTTTTGAAAAAAAAATATTAGGACACATTTCTCACAATATGTTCCTGTAACACACAAAAGAATGCTATTCCATGGTGTCATGGGACAATAGCTTCACGATTCTACATGATAAACCAATGAACATTGTCATGTGATTTATGACCAACTTTCTCAAAAAAATATTTGAGAAACTTCACTAACTTATCTTATCTCACTAAATATAGTAATTAAATACATGTAAGCATTATACGCGAACAAAACAAAGTTTACGGGCCAACAAGGTTGATTACGAGAAACTAAACTCGACAGAAATGGACACAATACGACTTGTTTGGTTCATGAGAGGCGCTTACACTGTAACTTTAGACTGAATTCTTTGGAATCTGGCTTTGTTGGACTGACAACCCGGAAAATTGTTTTTCTTTCGCATAATGTTGATGCATATTATTCCACACCCTATTTGTTAGTAAGTTGTCTCGTAACTAATTTAATTAATTTATTGAGAGTAATATCGAAATACACGTGTACCACAGCTGTCTTGAAATCCTGCTTTCCCTGTCCACGAATGGTATAGCCGAAACAAAATATATGTATCAAAATCGACGAACGGGGACGAAACAGCATTAATACGAAAAGACACTGAGCAAAACGGCCTTGACACTCTTCCAGTGGAATATATGTTTCGAGCCGATTTCGAGCCAGGGTCCCTGCGAGGTGCGCCCTCATTTGAGGCCACATCGAAAGCATTTTGATCGATTGAGTTGGACACAACGATGAGAATTTTGGTTTGTTTTGTGAAAATTTCGACTAATATGTGTGTGTGGGTGGGCTGGGGGGGGGGGGGGTGATATATGGTGGCTGAATTTTGGCAAGTCAACATTTCACACGTGTTTCAGAGTACTCATAGTACAGTACTGTATATTATTTTAATCATATTTGTATTTCCCAGGATACATTGCACGCGTACCGGAAGCAGCTGAGCTGAGTAACAGGTGTGTAATTCGTAGTTCAGGACTTTAGTCGAGGTGCATGTGGATTACACGGAAGCTCCACTCCGTCTTGGTCTTAGGGCTTGTGTCTATGTCTGTGTGGTTGAGTCTATCTGTATGTGTCTTTCGGGTGGGTCTATCTGGGGATGTAGAGTCATTCCAGTCTCTGTCCACATCTCCTACGGACACCGTGACAGGCGCTACATGTATGTTTGCCATGATTTGATTAAAACACTAAACATGCAGCCTTTCATCAGTTGTTATACACCGATTCAAACCATTGACACAAGAGACTGACTGCACTGGTCACATTGGAATGGTGGTCTTTAATACAATAGTCACATGTGAACTGCATTGAGACTGCTCAAAGGGGTGGTCACTAGCACAGGTTCCTCTATGTAAGGTAACTTACAAATATTCCTATTTAAGTAAGTGTTACCACATTGGGTGAATTAAACAACTGATAACTCAAAATATGCCAAACCTACAAATCAAAGAAATTATGTAAATGATAATACAAAGTATTGATTTACCTATTCATAGATTATACAAATGATCAGAGGAATGGCAGATGCTATTTAACTCTGATAAGTGCAGAATAACTCATTTTGGCCAAAACAACCAACATTTTCAGTATCACCTTGGCAATGTTACACTGAGCTGTGTTCCTGATGAAAAGGACTTGGGAGTGATTGTTTCAAAGGATATTAAAGTGTCTACAAGTTGCTGCAAGTGTCAAGCAGGCAAATTGTGTCCTGGGGGCCATTAAACAGACTATCACCAGCCGTAATGCTAAAGTTATGTTACCACTATATACATCATTAGTACGTCCACATTTGGAATACTACATTCAGGCATGGTCTCCATACTTGCGGAAAGACATTGATCTCATGGGAAAAGTACAAAATAACTTTCATAGATACATATTGAAACAACATGAAATAGAAACCAATTTGCAGCTAATAAAAACAATAAACTAAGTATACACAATTCACCTTTAGTGATTCCAGAAACTTAAATGTGAGGTGACATAGTTGTATATTAAGGGAGTTTTTGTTCACTGATAATGTCACAGCATATACATGCAATGACTTAAATGTGAGGTGACATAGTTGTATATTAAGGAAGTTTTTGTTCACTGATAATGTCACAGCATATACATGCAATGACTTAAATGTGAGGTGACATAGTTGTATATTAAGGGAGTTTTTGTTCACTGATAATGTCACAGCATATACATGCAATGACTTAAATGTGAGGTGACATAGTTGTATATTAAGGGAGTTTTTGTTCACTGATAATGTCACAGCATATACATGCAATGCTAATCAAAATATGAGATCAAACCGCAAATCAAAAAGTAGAGTGGAAATAAAATCGTAAACTGGAATTACAAATGAAATATTAATTGTGATTGCATTTTAAACTGTAAAGTGAAATTTAAATTTAAATGGGTATTGGGAAATGGAAATTTATATTCAAAGAAAAGTGGAGTTTTATTTACGATATCAATTAAATTATGGATAAAGTGACAGTAATGAAAATACAAAGCAGTGGCCCTCCCAGGTTGCTGTACATGTATTCTTGCGTGTAAAATTAAAATATCTTATTTTCTTTCAGTAACACTGATATAGAAAATTATCCTGCCAGCCATGAGATAACCATGATAGAGTTGTTATTGGATTATATTGCTTGGATTAAAGTGACAATTGACACTTTGGATTTGGATTTACTGCAATGGCTAATATGGTTGTTCACACCAATAGTTGTCATGTTTGTATTACCCTTGGTAATTTTATTGCTGTTATATGGGTGTGGAGTGTTTTTACAGTTCTACAAAGCACGACGAAGATTAGTTGATGCCTATTCCAGAGGATACTGGGATTGTGCACGGGAAAGTATTGCCACATTTTGGGAAGCACAAGCCAATATATGGCATGGTGAGTGGAATATTTTCAATTGCTATTCATACATTAATGTATTAATGTTGAGCCTTTATCCCAAACATATTCTTGACAGGTTATAATGTTAAATTACATTGGCTGTACCTTTAATAAACTTTTTTAAACTTGGCAACCACGACCACACACCTATAGCAACAAAGTCCCAAAGTCCATATTTGCTATTATATCCAAACAATACAATTTTATTTTAGTGCTAAAATACCTCAAAATTCTGCCATTATTGAACCGTATTTTTGTTGTGTATGAGAATCATGCATATTGGTTTGCAGATGCATTTCCTATGTCTTTCTGAGATTCAGACAAAAATGGTGCCATTTTGTTTTTATTCATGTCCATGCTGATTCCTCACTAATATATTTTCTGATTCAGTTGAAAGTTTGTACACATTTTATTACTTAAGTAATACCAAGGTATATGTGTTATTAGTCACTCTTCAGACACCGTACTAAAACAAGCACTTATGTGTATGCTTAGGATGTTCAAGTTAAAACTTCACACATACATCAAATTAGATCATATGCTGAGAAGTAATTATACATAAGTTTCAAATTATAATTTCTAATCTATGTTGGAAAATTGTTCTGGGGATTATTAATTTCAATAAACAATATTCAACTTTCCTTCTGCAACACCAATAAGATCAATACTTATAGTATGTCACTAAGCAGTTTGACAAGAATGCGTGATGCAAAGATCATTCTATAAATTGTCAAATATTTCTCCATGGAAGAAAGAAACAAGGGGCAATATCAGAGTATGGGTTTTATTTAGGAACTCTTGACAAATCAACTGCACAAATTAACAGCTCATAAGAATAGTATAAGTTGTTAATGGCACAATAAACATTAATTCTCAACTCTGATGGGAGAACCAATTACTGCTGTTAGTATGGTTGTTTTTGTTTGTATTAAATAATTGTTTTTTGCAGGCTATGAAATTCTAGGAATGGAGAAGATTCCATCAGAGGGAGCTGCTGTTCTTGTTTATTATCATGGTGCTATACCAATAGATGCTTACTATATAATAGCAAAACTTATTCTTTACAAGAAAAGAATGCCGCATTGTATTGGTGATAAGTTTCTATTCAGTGTACCCGGTAAGTCTACTGCAGTGTACCTGATAAGTCTACTGCATTGTACCCGGTAAGTCTACTGCAGTGTACCTGCTAAGTCTACGGCATTGTACCCGGTAAGTCTACTGCATTGTACCTGATAAGTCTACTGCATTGTACCCGGTAAGTCTACTGCATTGTA